TTTTAAAACTTTGAGCGAAATTTTTCTAATCGAATTTGATAAAAATTTTTATATACAAATTCTGCAATTTGATTGGCCGATTTCAGACCATTTATCATGTGATTTTTTCAAATCCGATAACCTCCCAAAACCGATACAGAACCCATCCATCATGCATACCGGTTTTGAGAGGGCCAACAGTATTTTGCAAGATCAAGGTATTAGTAAAAATATGCGATCTTATATCGCAGATATGGGATTATCTAAAAAGATAGATGAGAATGCTTCAGGTGAGATTTATGGTGTTATGCCTTATGTTGCTCCAGAGGTTTTATTGGATCAAAAGTTTACAAAAGCTGCCGATATTTATGGCTTCGGAGTCATTATGACAGAAATGTCAACTGGACAAAGACCTTTTGATGGACGTAAATTTGATTTAAAACTTTCAGTAGAAATTTGCAAAGGATCACGACCTGAACTTGCTTATGGGACTCCTAATTGCTATATTAAATTGGCTAAGCAATGCATGTATTCGGATCCACAAAAACGGCCTGATGCTGAAGAAGTTTGGGAGGAACTCGTTAAATGGAATAAAAGCATGAAGGGTTCGAATGATGCAGATGTAGATGAAATTAAAAAGCAATTCTTTGTCGCTGGTAAAATAGACAAAAAAAAAATCCAATTATTGCATCAAAACATCCAAATTCTGTATACACTAGCAAAATAATTAACACTAAAAAAATATCAAGTGTAATTACAGGTATTTGTTTAAAAATTACTTATGCTATATTATTAGATTATAAGATTAAAAATTTTCTCTAGATGCTTACCAAGTTGACCTTCATATTTCTAATAATTTTGAAGGCAATGGTATGTAGACAAATATAAATAGGACGAATCTAATTGTAACAACATGTTACACGCTTATTTGTAACAACTTACTTAGTACGGTGTTATGCCTGGAAATTTTCCCTTATTCTCTATTTAGTATTTTATTATATTATTATTATTTTTATCAGCATTATTTCTATTACAAGCACAACTATCTAATCGAAATATGTATAAATAATTTGAAAGTTGATTAGTTAGGCCTCTAAAAACGTGCAACAACATTTGCTATTAAGATTGTAAGTGCCAGACAGCAAAAAAAAAAATTAAAAATGCCAAATTTGAAGATTATATAATCAATTATGGTTGGTTAATTTTTATATAATTAATTTTGATTGGTTATTAATAAAACATACAAATAGTTTTTTTTATATATTAAACGCCAAATTTTCAAATGCATATAAACTTTAAAGTATTATAACTCAAGAACAATTAGTTTAGAAAAAAATTCCTCTTACATATTTGTTGCTTTTTATTCAAACTACAACTTTGTTAAAATAGATTTTTAATTTTAAAAAGTTATAACATATTTATATTTTATATATAAATATTGGATGTGTTTTGCTGTCGTACTATAATACAAAAAATTTAAAAATTACAAATTATTTAGCCCAAGAACCCAAAAAACATCTATATATAAATTTATTGCATATTAATGTTTTCATTAATTTGTTATCTGGTTTAATATTTTTACTTAGGAAAGTCGATAAAATTTTTTTAATTACACTCAATCACGAAGCCCATATTGGATTTGGCCATTTTTTTAATTGAAAATAAGTTAACACTATTATAATAACGCCACCAACAACACCAACAACAATACCAACTATTTGACCAACCGAAGGACCACCTGGAGGAGGTGAATTAACTATAAAATCTGAAGCATTATATATACTAAGGGCTAAAGGACCCCCACAAATTTGTGAATTATTACCTTCGCAACTAGAACTACATTCTTCTATAGAAAGTCTGGTTAGGCTTCTATAATCATTATCGCAAAAACACTGCGATCCTACCTGAGTATGATAATCAAAAGATTTAAATACTTTCTTGCACGTTTTCACAATTAAAACAGACAATGATTAAAGTTTGAATAATTAAATTTGGATTTCTATATACAGTAATCAAATCATGATCATTGCATGTTTTTAAATGCATATTATAAAAATCTGTCATCCATACCTCGAGTCCCGCATACTTATATTTATTCTCTCCACAAAATTTTAAACACTTTTCGATTGTCATCCCAGAAGCTTCCTCTGATGTACCATTTAAAAATCTTTTATTACAATAAGGACTTTCCTTATAACATCCTTTATATCTAATATCTTTATTAAGGTAAAGGTCATTAATTATTTCAAGTTTTTGACTGATGTCTATATTAGGTACTCTGTAACTTGAAACAGCGGTTAATGCGTTATAAATTGTATAGCCATCTTTTCCACCACATATATAACTTGAATTACCGACGCATTTGATGTTACAAGTTGTATTTATTAACTTATCGTTAGTTAATTTAATGTAAGAATCTAAACCATTGTCATTACCACATCTACACTTATTTCCACCTGTTAGTGCTGCATATTTAAAAAGATAATCAGCACAATGAATAGTGCAGAGACCTGGATCCATTAAATTTTGATCGCGATCCGTGTATGGGTCGGTAAAATTTACACTCGTAAGGCCAGCTAGAGTATCTATGCTAAAGGTCGTATTAAGTATATAACAACCTAAAGGGTCGGTTGTTGGATGATTTCTTCGTGTTAAATTTCCAACGCACTCTCCAGGATCATGTATTAACCGTTTGTTAAACATTATTCCATAGGGTTTTTGTATGTAAATCAATAAAACCATAAAAATGAGCAAAATAGTTTCGTTTTTCATTGCCACAGTATTAAAGTATGAAATGTTTTTACAAGTTTTACAACGTTCATTTTATATTTAATGAATGTCTTTAAGAGAAAACCAGCAATTCTAAAAATAGATTTATTAGAAATTCATAATCTATTTTTAGAATCTAGGTTTCAATGACGTCATTCTAATCTTTGTATTTAGAAGTATAAGGTTACACTAATGTATAATAAAATGGCACATGATTATATATCATATACATGTTATGACATTGTCATTTTCCAACAATGTTATCATATACATTATAAATTTGCTGGATTCTTAATCCGCTAAATTCACTTAGTCCGTTAAATTAACTTAATCCGTTAAATTCACTAAATTCATAATAAAGTGAATTTTCATAATTTCGGTAACGATTTACCTATTATTTTTTGTTTGAGAAATGCTAATATAACGTACTATGTACTAAAATTTATGTTGATCCTTGTTAAAAGAGGCAAATAATGTATCGAAAATGAAACAAAGAATAATAAAGGATCGGGGATAACCCGACATACGTTCGTACCTTTTTTCCTATTTTTAGCAGATCAGCCAAAATTTTTGAGTAGGCGTTGATTAATTTTGCCCAAGATATTACTAATGAAATCATTGCCCATTCACTAAATAAAAGGTCCCAGATGATCGAATACTTTATATCGCGGACTATGGAATTGGATCTCAATAGAATCCCTGGATTTAACAATATATATAATACTAGCGAATGACCTGTGCCTTCGGCACTGAAAAAACTTTATTAAAATAAAATAGTCAAATTTTCATAATTTATATATTTTTGCTATTTATAAGACTACGAAGTTAATTTCTTGTTTCTTATTATATAAAATCTAAAGTTTAACTGGTAAGCTTTTTTTTCAGTTGATTTTATAACATGTGTAATTTTAAGAAATTAAAGGTTTCATTGGGTGAGATTAATTATATTGGTACCAAAAAATATTTGAAACTGTAAAGCAAGTTAAGTGAAGTTTGTAAAACAGAAAATAAACTTTGCATAACCTAATATTTATTTATAATACGCAAGTGTTAGCGAAGGCCCTAAATACATTATAAATTTTAGAAATTTCAATTAACTATAATACTTACATGCATACCATTTTGATCACTTACTAATAATTCTAATTATGATAATTTTAGAATTATTTAAATTTAATATAAATATTGCCAAATTATAAACCAATCACTGGTGAAATTACTAACTTAACTATTGAAATCACTAATTCGCCAACTACTAAATTGTAAATTATTTATTATCAAAATTATCAACCCATTCACTGCTAAATTATGAAGAAACCTACTATTAAATTCATTAACTTACCTATTATTATGATCCATTCACTATTAAATTACTAACTTATTCATAATTTAAGCATAAACTATCTGTAATTATCTACTATTATCATGGTTGTAAACTTGCAGTCCCATTGATGAAATCATAAACCCAACCACTTTTGCAATCGTGAGCCCATCATCATTGAATTATAAATTCTCAAAGAACTCACCTGTTGTTGAAATCATACAAATCCATTTATTGTTGAATTATAAATTATACTGTAGAAACTACAAATCCACCTATTGCTAAATTCATGAACCTGCCATTAAAAATTACTGATTTATTAGCTATTAATATTGTATTAAAATCATGAACTACTTATTATGAAAACTTACCCATTATTCAAATAACAGATCTACATATTGTTGAAGTTATAAGTCTACCAATTATTGAGATTGTTAAGGATAGGATGAATGTAGATCATTTTTAATAGTAATCATATTGCAAATTATATGATTTATATTGATTTGACCAATCAGAATTGTAAACAATAGAAATCTGACCAATAAGAATTAGTAATTTTTGTGTTACTTAAATAAATTTCAATCAACCTAGAAGAATTTAATAATATATAGAGGTAGATTTTTTTAAATGATATAAGAACCAAACTTTTTATTATTATAAAGAAAAGGTTTTAATCTATATATTATGAAGTTTTGGTAAAGTTTAGTTGTGAGCTTAAAAACTTTTACTAATAGCATATGCTCAATTTTTATATAAAAAAATTTTAGCATATAAGATCATATGACTAATGATCTATATTCACTCTACACTTAACTGATCTACTGTTGAATTATAACTCTTTCTATTTCTCAAATTATTATTGTTAAAATTGTAAACCAATCTACTATTAAACAATAAGATTATCCCACTGTTAAATTTGTAGACCTATCTAATATTAAAAATGTAATTTCTATTTCCTATAAAAAAATATTTAAAAAGATGTTCTGAAGGCTATTGTACTGAAAAATACTTATTTTTATAGAAAAAATATATACAAATTACTGATCATTTTAATAGAATTCTGCTAATTTTTATATAAATATCATATTTTGATAATATTCAGCTTCTAATTTTTTGTAATTTATAGCTATTTTATAAATTCTGAAAAATCTAACAAAATTGATTAATGAATATTTGTCGATTCAATAAGTTTGTAATTTTAGTAATAATTGATATATATAATAAAGTTTATTATTGCAAAATCAAAACTAATCAAATTAACAAATATTAGATTAGTTAATTTTTGCCAGATTTCTTAAAATATATGAAAACAGCTATAAAGTACAAAAGATTAGAAGCTAAATCTTATTTGAATCAGATTTTATGAGATTTGTATATTGTTTCTGAAAAATAAATATTTTCTAGAATGATAGTCTTGAAAAAGTCAGGATATCTTTTGTAAAACTTTTATAAAAAATATTATATGTTAAAATTACTAAAAATATATCATTAATGAAATTATGAACTTACCTATGCTCCAAACTTAAAATCCTTAATTCTGTTTCAATAAGACATTCTACTTTTGGTTAAGCTTTCAGCTTTTAGTGTGACTTTTGACTCAATTTTGTGAAATAAGTTTATTAACATATTTTAGTATATTAAAAATACTTTTAAAGCCAATTTTAATTTTAATAAAGTTAATATGGTTAATATGGTTTAATGTGTTTAGGATCAAAAGTAATGTAAATAATTTGTAAAGGTTTAATGAACTCAGATACAGCACATAATTAATGTTAAAACTCTTAACAACTATACAATAGATATAATACAAAATCTCATTTTGCAAATACTGTAGCAAAAAATTTTTATAGTTATAATTATTCAGTAATTATAGTTATCATATAGATATATATGTATAACTAACTTATATATACATATCTATATAATAATTATATTATCATATGGGTCTGATATAACAACTCATGTATTACTTCTTTTAAACAAACTATTTAATTAAACTATTTTTTGTTTGTACTGTAATTACTTTTTCTTATTATTTATTTGTGAAATTTGATATATTTAAGCTTAATTTTTCATTTCAAGTATAAAATAACAGCCTTATAGTTAATGATCCAGAAGCTTAATAGTTAAGAATTTACTTGTTTATTATAAATACTAAAACACTTCAAAATTATAAATAAAGAGCAAAGATATTGTAAATGAATTTGCTATTTAAAAATAAATAATATGTTTTTAAATTACAAAAAAATAATGGTTTTACATTCAAATTAATATTGGTCTTCGCCTAGAAATAAAAATTTTAAAAAATTACCTAACTTAATGTAATCTTCAACCTGTCAATAAGAATTGTAAAAAACCATCCCAAATTAATATTAGTCTGAAAAACTACCAAATATAATATTAGTTTTTGGTCAATAAATAAGAATTTTAAATTTTTGCCTAATAAGAATTTAAAACACCACCAATTCTAATTTTATTCTTCATAAACAAATCAGAAATTTAAAAGCTACTTGACATAATAAAATTTTTAAAAAACTATCCAATTTAATATATATATTAGTCTTTGCCAATAAATAAGAATTTAAAAAACTGCCAGAACAATATTAGTCTTTGTAGCAAATAAAAACTACATAACTTAATACATCTATTATTAGTTTTTGCCAGAAATTGGGAATTTTTAAAAAAACCCACAATCTAATATGTGTATTAGTCTTTGTAAAGAAATGAAAAATTTAAAACTAACTGACATTAATCTTTATTCAACAAATAATAATTTATAGTTATGTAATTTTTAGTAAAAGACAGATTTTGTTTTAGCTTTTATGAAAATAACTTATTTGCATGGGTTATATATAAAAATTACATGATTTTTATATATACCTATGCAAATAAGATTTTTAAAAAAGCTCAGATTGTTACATAAGATCTGTCATTACAAAGCTGTTTTTATATACAATTATGTAGAATTTTTATACAAAACTATGTAAAATTTGTATATAGCTTTACAAAACTTTATAAACTCAATGTAGAGTTTACATATCTATTTATATAAATCTATATATATTTCTATATAGAATTATATAAAATAGCAAAAAAATTTAATTTAAATATTAAAGCTAGAATTAGATTTTAAAGTTTAAATTAAGGGTTTAGGGAAGGTTTTTGACTATGCTGAATATTTTTATTTAGTGTATCGATTAGTGATTACCTTAGTTACTTTTGAGAAATAGCTGAAGTAAATTAATTTATTTTTATATAAATATAGATTTATATTTATAAATAATAAATAAAATTATATATAAAAATTACATAGTTTACATATAAAAATCCTTAATATATTGTAATATTAATGAATTTTTATTAACATTTTTCTTATATTTTTCCTTAAATTTTATTATATTTTTTATATGTTTATTATATATTTTATTAT